AGCAGACTCCTTGGGTTTGAAGCTTGGCTATGCCACTTCTCTAGCTGGGTGATTTTTGTACCTCTGTTTGCTTCACCTATAAAATGGGGATAATGCTAGTACTTAACACAGAAACCCCTAGCACAGAGTGAGTGCTTTGAAAGTGTTTGTTAAATAAGTAATTCTGTGGTGCTGAGTTTACTTCTCAGCTGGAAAACTTGAGATATTTTTATTCCCAACAATTTGCCATCAACCAATCATGATTGCTCATTCTCACACCAAGAACAGAATAGCCTAGAAACAGCACCTCAGCAGCCATGGGTGCCTGATTGTTCCTTTAGATGGCGCAGGAGCAGGGTGAGACACCAGGTCAATTTCACACCTGGGGATGATTCGGCAAAGCTGGGGTCAGAGCACTTCTGGAACATTCTTCACTCTGCAAGTACTCAGCTGCTGAAAACAGCTGTGCTTAAAGAAGCTCAGACTCAGCACGGAGCTATTCCTACTATTTGCAAGGGTGGGAGCTTCAGAAAGGGGTCCTGATCATTCTCTCTGTCCCCACTGTTTATACCCACAGCAGCCTGTTTGGCCCCTGGGATGAAAGATTAAATGGGGGAATCCAAATGTTTTATTGTGGACATATGTTCTGGGGGGAAAGTATGACGATGGTGCTGATGGTGATAACCCACATTTATTGAGCACTGACTAAGTACCAGACAGTGCTCTCGGTGCTATACATATACTAACTCATATAATCCCCATTGTACAGACAAAGACACTGAGTCCCTAAGAGAAAAGGAACTCGCTTAAGGAAAGACAGACAGAAAGTTGGGATTTGACCCCAGGCTGTCTGGCCTAGACCCAGGCTCTCCTCCTGTGCACATTGCCTCTGAGTCTGGCTGTGAGGAGGGGGTTCAGGCAGGAGGCGGCACAGGAACAAGCACCATACTGGGCTGTGATTGATGGGAGGGCGTGAGGGGCTCAGGATGCTATGGTTAAGTCCATTTATTTTAAATTAAATGAGCTTTAAAAATTGAAATAGAACAAATCATAAATAATATTCCTTCATGAATTTCTTTCGTGATAAGTATAGGATGGGTCCATTTTTATAAATAAATATCGAAGTTCATTAAAGATTCATACTGTTGTATTTGAACCTTTTCACATAAAAAATTTAAGGCAAAGCAATCTTAATATTATTTCTCATTTATTCACTAGCAGTACAATAAGATCAAACACCTTCTTGTTATTCTCATTTGATTTCCTATTATTTCAACTTCTCTCTACAGGGTTTTCACATCGACAAAGATTTTCTGTATTATTGTTCTCCTACAGGATCCCATGAACTCAGTCTGGGAAGACTTTTCTGAAATATTTTCTTATAGCTCAGAAAACAAAAACGTATGCACAGGATCAGATTCTATGGGAATTTGGCTAATTTTTTTACCAGAAAGATAAACGTGGTCTCGGATACTCTTTTCTAATAAGACCAGCTTCTCTGGCTCTTAATGTGATCTAAATCCTAATTTCCCCCCTGAGATTTGTCCACAGTTGTGATGGCCTCTGGCCTACAGTTCCTCAGGGCTAATGCAGAGTCACGCTGAATCCTGGGTCAGAGGAGCTATTATTAAGGAGAGGACATTCTCAGATATCCATAGCAGGAGGAGGACAGAGAGAGGTACAGGTACCACAGATGAAGCCTACACCAAGTCCCGTAAGCTAATTTTGGCCAACTGTGTAGTGTAGACTTGTCTTGCTGTGTACCTGTTTCCAGAAAAGGAACCAGGTAGTACACTGAGAATACTGAAAAGTACCCCGGCTTACATCTGCATCCTGGGGAGGCTATACTAAAGACGGCTAGGTCTTCACACTCTGTGAACATCTTTTGTAGATCTAGCTGAGGTCTCCAGGTTCAGGAAGATGGGAGTTAAGAATGGCACCCCAGAATTCTAGGGACATAAAGTCCTTTCTGTGGCCACCTGCCTCTCCCTTCTGAGCCCTGTCTCCTAGGTATTGTCCCAGGAGGTGGAAGGGGAATGTTACTTTCTCTCCATCTTCCCTGCAGAGATGGACTGGTCACACTGGTATTCCTCATCTATGGACTCCTTACCATGAAGGAAAAATTGGGCTGGATGCTCACATAGTGCCTTACTAGGATTATACCCTGAAACAAACCCATAAAATTCTTTCAAAAATAATAAACCAAGAAAACATCCCCTCTTGAAACTTCTCCCCTAGGGCAATGACATGAAAACCTATTTCCCATTGGGCTCTTCTACAGGAAAAAGCCTTCAGTGGCAGATTCCTGGTTTTCTAATATTGGGATTTCTGGTTTTCACCTATTCTGGAGATAAGTGGATATATTAATTTAGCTTAAAAAAACACCCAGTGAGCAACATTCCAGCTAGTCTTTCTAGACCATTTTTGCAAATTCTGAGAGGCACCTCTTCAAAGCACCATCCTTTAAAATCAGCAATATATAGCCTACTGCTGCTGTCCTGTGGCCACTCAGTACAACCCAGTCCAGAGGCCTTCCTGTTGGCAACTACCATACACCCTGGGCAAGAGCCAAAAGTCACATCACAGCGCCTCGCCTTATGCATCAACTTGGTTAAGAAAGAAAATCCTGAGTTTCAAGGTTAGGTTAAGAGAGCCAAAAGGCTCATCAATGAACTTAATGGCAAATATAAGTCACTTCAACTAGTCCTATGATGCTGTCATTTAGCCAAGTTTCCTCCACTCTTGGAATAAAAATGCTTCTGCCGTGCTCTTTTTATTTTAATAAATGACAATTTAAAATTACAAACCTTATGTTAACGAGTCACGTTTAATGTTAGCTAAACAATGATAAAAAAATATCTGTAAAACAGCGTTTTGGTTTTTGGCTATCATTTCACACCGTTAAGGTGCTGCAACATGACAGGAAAGGTGCTTAGACAGCGAGCAAGGCTAGGAGTGCATGGAAAGCTATGTTGAATCCCTCTTTTCTGTTTCCATTTCTATTCATCTGCTTTCCCATGGGCAAGTAGCCACCTCCTATCACAGAGCCGCCCCCGTCTTAGGTCAGCAGACAATACAAGCAAAACCTGTAAAGGATGGAGGTATTGGCTTGGGTGTGGTCACTGGCAAAGGGAAGCTCAGATCCCCTGGCTGCAGGTTCGAAAACCAGGAGCCCGACCCTTGGCGAGTCATCTCCACGCCCGCTTCTCCCGATTTTACTACAATCCGCACGAGCCCTGACTGCTCCTTTTAGGAACACACAGCAGCCCTTCAATGTGGCCGCCACCGCAGACAAAGCCGGCTGCTAAGGGGGCCCCACTCTGCACCGAGGCGACCTGCAGGTCGCCGCCGGGCCCCGCCACGTCTCGGTTGCTAATCAGCGGCGTGGGGCAAGCGGTGCGGCCGCAAACAGAAGGCACCAAAGCTGGAGGCGGCGGCTGTCTACACGTCTGTCTGGGGGAACGCGCGACTCCCATCCCGGCATTAACGGCGAAGCTTGGAGTACCAACATAAACCCCCAACATGAGCACGTGCCCTGAGATTTCTCCGGGAGCATTTTCTGCACCAGAAAGCTGCACACGAGTCCTGGGGGGCCCTAGTTCGTCGTCGGGCAGAGACCCGTGCCAGCTATTGTTCTCCAGGTCTGCCTGGCGGGAGACGGTCCCCATTCCGCCTCCCAGGCAGCATCTGCCACTGGACCAAGCCTTTCAGCTCCGCGAAGAAAAGGGTGTGCCTGCGGGGCTGCAGATTATCACAAAACCCTAAGAGTCCCCACGGGCTTGTATCAAGCCCGGAGACAAAGCTCCTCGCAGGGACAGCCCAGCCCGGTCCCAGATCCTGGGTCTGTCTCCCAGACCAAGAGCCACGCCCAGCCAGCCACCTGGACCTCCAGGCCTCACAACTAGAGCTGAGGGTCCTCAGGCCTGAGGCCCGCCTCCAAACCGCCTGCCCCTCCCTTCCCCCCGAGACCTCCCCTCCTCCGCACCGCGCGAGTCTCCTCCTCCCTAGCGTCTACCCTCCTCAAACCCAGGCGGTCTCCACCCTCCAGCATCTACCCTCGCCGCCTCATTCTTCATTAGCCCCAGCCTCAAGTCGCGCCACCTACACCAAGCTCCTTTCCTGCTTCCTCCCCCTTCTCTTTCATCCTCAAACCCTGGTCTTCACTTCCCCCTCCTCCCAAACCCAGACACCTGTCCCCACCCAGATTCCCCATCTCCCCATCTTTGCTCAAACGGTGGCCTCGCCTCCGCCTCTCTGCATCCCAGCCTCTCTCCAGCTCCAACTCCTGCCCCCTCCCCAGGCTTGGGGCGTTGAGGTCTCTCGCTCGCCAAGATCGATGCTGCGGGCAGGGCTCCCGCGCTGGGCTCAACAGAAGGAACCACGCTCGGCGCCCTTTCTGGGCCGGGCAGCGGCAGGCATTCTTTGTGGTTCAGGCAGGTGCCTCGGAGGCGGCAGGCGAGTCATCCTCAGGCGTCCGCTCCATTAGCCAGAGGATGGAATGGGTCGGGGGGTCCGCTCCAGGCTGGGCAAATCCCAACCCGGAGGCGGGATGGATAGACGGTGTGTGTATGGGTGGGGGCTGGGGACAGCGCCGAGCTAGGGACTCGGGCAGGAAGGGACCGCAGCCGGAGAAGCCCCCGTCCAGTCTTCTAGCGGTTCACTGCACCTCGACGAGAGCGGCTGGGCGCCTACTGTGTGCTGGGAGTGAAACCCTTTCAACCAAGCCGCCTCCTCACCCCAGTTCTTTGCAATGCCATGAGCACACATAAACGCCTACTGTGAGCAAGGCACCACACCGCGCTCCGTGGGAGTACAAAGAGGACCCCATTCGGACCCCAGTTTAACACTGATAGCAGCCCACAACCCCAAACCATCTTCTCGCCGCGCGTCCCCTGCGGCCGGGCCCCTAGGCGCGCCCCAATCCCCGCCCTTTTGTGCGCCTCTCAGAGAAACAGAGGGCGTAAAATGGATGTCCCAGCCCGGGGAGAAATAAGCCCACCGCCCGCCCCGCCATCACCCACTCTTCCAGGATGCTGCAGCTTCGAGAGTCCGTCGGCGGGTCGGTCTCTCCTGGGTCTCGCCGCGGCGCGGGAGCTGCGGGGGCTCGGGGCGGCGGCGGCTGCACGCGCGCTCGCTGGATCGCCGCCTTAGCGCGGCCGGGCGCTGGAGTCCCAAGCTGCGAGGGGGAGGGGACGTGGACGGGGGCTGGAGGCGGCCTCGGCCAATCACCGATGCGACGGCTCCTCCCCAGTGCCCTCCACCTCGCTCCAGCAGGTTTGCGGGAGGCGGGGACAGGCGGCGCTCCGCATCCTCGGCGCCGCGCGCGGCCGCCGCCTTGGGACTACAACTCCCGACAGGCCTTGCTGTAGGGCTGGGGTCCGAGAGTGGACAGAGGGCGCGGCCCGAAAACCCGCCGACCTCCGTCGTGACCTTCTCTGAGTTCCTTTGGGTTTCCATGGAGACTCCCAACACTCCACAAAGCCCGAGTGCTCCGACGCTCGGATGCCCGGGTCCTCTGGGAGGACTACGCAGCGGGTTGCGAGGACACACCGCCTCCCCTCCCCCTGCAGGACCCCACCCGAGGGCCTGAAACAATGCCCCGGCCGCCTCTCCCGGCTGCTGCAGGACCTGCCCTTCGCTGCTGGCCTGCCTAGACCCAGTTCCCGCCAAGACCCAATCCGACGCCTTCGAAGTGGCTGCTCGGCGGGATTCCAGCGTGGAGAGGACGGGGTCGGTTGTTATGGGTCAATGTTCTCACGTGAAAAGTGGACGGCCACTCTGGGTCACCTACGTTTGCACTTCCCTATGTTGGGGCTGCAACCCGAGTTCACTCTCAGGCGGAGCTGAGCGAGGGCTTCTCCATCCAGATCTCTCAGGTCCAGCTGCCTGTCCTGTTTCTGACACCCCGCCCCCGCCCCCCCTTTCAGGGGATGGTGAAGCCTCTTGAAACGTTTCATAACTCAATTTACATTTGCTTCACCTTTTTTCTTCACGTTTTAAATGCACACATAACTTAGCAAAAACAAAAAATCTAAAGAAGCAAGAGGGAGGATGGACCATCATGCCTTCATACGACCTCCCTGATCCCCTCTCAAGCCTTTGCCCTGTATGTTATTTCATGTAGTTGTAATGATGGCTTAGATACAGTTTAATAATTTGCCTCCTTTCACTTACCGTCACTCCAAAGGCACTGCTATTGACATGGTGTTAAAACGCAACATCGAATCCTTACCTCCAACCCCATTCTGGGGTCTCCCTGGGAACCCCAATGTGCTGCTGCAGAAGCCCCTCCTTTACCGGGTGGCGGGAAGGGGTGAAGGTGAGAGAGTTTCCCAGCAGCCCCAAGGCCAAGGCCCCAGGGTTGGTTCTCTCTGCGGGATATTTGCAAACCACTACTCAGGAGGGCCTCCCCTCCCGGCCTCAGCAAAATCTACTGAGGCACCAGGCTCGCGGAGCCTGCCAAAGTGAGGTGTTCATGGGCCATACTTTCTCTGCAGTCCTAATCCAGAAGTGCATCCCCTAATGCCCGCTTGGTCTGGTTCAGGTCCTGAGCCCACGGGTACGTTGGATGCTGGACTTTTTGCCTAAGGGGAGGGAGTCCTCTAGTGGCTGTAAACGTTGTCTGCAACGTTTAGTAGACCTCATGGTTGGACTCTTGCTTCTTTGGTTTCTTGGGGCGACCTCCTCCGGTCAGCAAAGAGCTGCCTTGAAGTCATCAGTTGACCTGGGGCATTGATGAAAGTCACGCCCAAACCTGAGGTTGTAAATGGAGGAACTGAATTTAGATTTTACCTGGATATTGATTTGTTAGATGGTTCTAAGCAGAGGTCTGAGATTCCAGGATAAAGGAGTAAAAGTTTGTGGGTTGGGAAGCTGAGGGGCATTTAGAAGACAGCTGAGGAACCACCATGACTTAAAAGTCAAGTCCAAGAATGGGGTTAGTGGGAAGAGAAAGGGGAGAGTAAGGTAGACTGGTATTGGGGGCCACACTTCACAAAGTTCAGGGCTACTACTTTTATGAGTAAATGTGTTTGGGGTTCCACATTGCCTTAACAACAAGCTTCTGAATAATGGGAAAGTGAAGGGTTACCATAAAAGAGGGAGGGATGAAAGATCAGCAGGTGTTTTTAGAATATGTCATTTAATTACCATTTCACATAGCAGATAGCATTGCTCATTTCTTATAGATGACAAGATCAGAAGAGAGGTTGAGTGACTTGCCTAGAAAGTCACATTGCTATAAGTAAGCAGAACCAGGTCTCCAAACCCCATCTGCCCAATGCAAAGCTGAGCCCTTCCCGCTCCAGCACACCCTTCCCCACAAGTCCTCCAGAAGGCTGACAGACTGTGGGGTCCATGAAAAACTCTCAAGGAGAGCCTATGCCAAGTCTTTGGCACTCAGATGGTCCTTCCTCTGCAGTTTCAACCTGTTCCTCCTCGAGGTGCCCTCTGAGAAAGGGTATTCTCCAACATTCCTGAGGAGCTTGAAGTCTACTTAGAGCATTTAAAAAAATTGTGAGCCAGCAGTCAAACCTCTTTATTCAGGTTAGTGCCACAGGGCAGGAGCCAGAATCAGACTGTTGTGAGCTCAAACCAGACACATACTGTGAGCCTCAGTTGCCTCATCTATAACCTCGACCCTCAGTACCCATCTCTCAAGGTCATTTTAAAGGTGGATGGCAGAATGCCAGTAGCAATAGACCCCTTGATGCATGGTAGTTATTATTCCTTAGGAGATTGAGAAGGCTGCTTGGTGAGCAGTTGCAGCAAAGGTGAAGGTAAAAGTCCGCTTGTAGGCTCAGCAGTATGTGGATAATCCAAGGGAAGCTTGTCAGGGAGAGGACGGGCAACAGGGTCTAAGGAAGGTTTTCTCAGCTTCGAGGATGTGGCCATGTTTGTAGATGAGGAGAAATGTCCCATGAAGAGCAAGAAGCTGAATGCAGAGGGGACACATGTCACGTCCAGCGTGGCAAGGGCAAATGGGACACGAGAGGGGCGGCATAGATTGAATAAGTACAAGAGACAAAAGTAAGATTTAAGAGCGAGACCAAGGGACTCAGCCTTCAGAGATAGACTGAGCCACCGAATCGGGTCAACGCATG